GGTTGGACTCAATGATCTTTGAGGTCAGCATATCTTTAAAGTTGCCTCCAAATAAACCGACATTAATAATTAAATATAAATTCATTCATTTATTATTAACCTTATTATTGAAATCCTAATAATGGTTCCAGAACTAAGAGCTTGCTTATAGAATTGACTTATCCTGAGTTCTAGAAAAGTTATCTGGTATTTCTATATTTAATTGCCCATTGTATTACATCAGATTATTCACCCATACCTTCCTTCCTTCCAAACATGAGATATCCCTTCAATCAGATGACATGAGCTGAGCAAGAGAAAGTCAAGCTGAGCAAGAGGAAGTCAAGGTGAGCACCAGACAGGGGTGAGGAATGGATGTCAGGGCACATCCAGAGAGACATGTGTGTGACCCTGTGGGACAGCAGCCATCAACACTTCTGCTCTCTACAGGAAATACCATCAAAGAACAAGGTCACAGAATGGGAGAATGGTCATGGTTCTGATTCTGAAAGTTGAATCAGGAAGGCAGACTGCTATTTCTGTGTGTAGTCTCTCTAATTTTTGTATGTTTCCACTCGCAGCTTACCATCTCTATATCATGGCTCTGAAATTTTAACATGCTGCATGCTTGTTAAAAGATCTACTGGAAAGGTTAAAGAGACAGAGTCCCTCTCCTCATTCCCTTAAGCCATTGTGGCCCCGTATACTCTATGAAACAGTGCCAGGCAGGGGAAAACTGATTGCAATATATAAGTTACTGATTACCTCCTTTGGTAAAAATTTTAAAAGAGATTTACTGGGTCTTCCATCTCCAACTCCTGCTTTCCCTGCATAGGCCTGGAAAACTCCTGTGCTCCCAGGACACCGACAGAGACTCTCCCCACCTTTCATATACCTCTCACCACACGTTGAGACCTAGAACATTTATAGTCCTCCAAAGCCCAGCAGAGGATGTAGTCTCTCCATTGTCACCATACCTTCATTAATTCAAAGACCATGTGAAAAATAATTAAATCTCCCATACAAAACATAAAAAGCCATCTTAAACATATGGAGAGTTAGTAGAACATCTGAAATGAATGATAATTCAATCAGAAAGAAACTTACTTTTTGTCTTCAGGTTTAATCACAGATGGATCTGTAAGGTTTTCCCCAACACCTACAACAAACCAACAGGGTGTGTGTGTGCATGTCTTACAAAGGAAAGTAGTCATAATCTGGTACTTAACAGAAATGTAATTGACCATTTTCTTTGCAGATTATGAAATGTCACAGTTAAAGTGGTCATGAGCTGAAAAGAAAATGCTGGGAGTATGAAAATCTGTTAAGTATTGGCAAGCATATATAGTTCTTATTACAGTCCTGACTTCAGCAGCTTTGAAGTTTATTTATATGCAGATGGAAGGCATATGTTGAAGCTCAATTAACTAACTAAAATATCACCAACAAAAAGACCGCTATTTTAGTTGGAGTAAAGGTATGGATCACATGTGGACCTTACAAATATCAACAGATCTACTCTCAGACACATGCTCTTCAAGGTAACAAACACAAGCCACAACTTCATGATGTGCAAATGTTTGGGTCTGTTATCTCTTTCTTTAATCTGGGTGGCCATGGAAGCTTATTCAAAAATAATTTCATTAGGATACCTGAATGCTGAAAAACTTGCGGTTTTCCCCAAACTCATGGCATACTACCATTTACCAAAAACCTCTGTTCTTATATCTGAATAAATCACTGCACTGTCATACTAATGAAAAAAATCTATGATCATACGACCATGAGATATGCAATTATTTTTACTTCAACATAGTAAATTTATGTTCTCCAGCAAAAACCAGTGAAGATTCTGGAAATAGCACATTGTGACTGAAATACTCACAAAGTGCAATGAAGTGCAATGAAGGGCATTTCAATTGAGTAAATTAGGCAAAATATGGTGTATATATATGTATGTGGAGATGGCCCTGGTATTATATAGTAAATTGTGATATGGATTCATCCTATTAGAACTCTAAGGGGAGCAGCCCTTGCACTTTTCCTAAACTCCAGATTAGAGAATTGAAGATAAAACACAAGACCAAAACTAGAGCTGTTTTCAGTTTGTTTGAGATGGAAATTGAAGCTCCAGTCTTGATGAGATCTACATATATGTTTAAATTCTCCTTGTTTGAGCCAACACAGTTGGTCTGGAAGTGCTGAGAGATGTATAATAAACCCAAGCAAACTTCAGACAAATTCTAGTAGGCTACAGTGAAGACACACCTACCTTTCTGTACCTTTTCTCCATGTGCAACTAAAGCCAAATGAAGGCAAGGATGGGTTTAGAGGTTTATTTTGCATAATAAGTCTTCTGTAATTCACAGCTTCTGGATGATTCAAAATGTAAATATGTTAAGTCTCTGACTACCCATACATATTTCCCTTGACACAAATGACAAACAATAATGTTTATACTGTTTGATGGGTGATGTTCATCCTCATAACCATGTAAACTCTTTTATCTCCTCAAAATATGCCATCTTCTCACTTACATATATATAGTAAAATGATCACATGCTCTTTGAAGGAGTCACCAGACTTCCGGAATAACATTCAGGCTTACACCTTACGTAAACCACTTACAGATGTATTAATATGAACAATAAAAAATCCAGATAGCAGTTCACACTCTGACAGATATACATATACATTAAGTGTGCATACATACATGAGTACACTTGAATCTCTGTATTATTTACATATCCTAAGGAAAATGAAAATATTTTAACTGTGAAGTGGGTTTTTTGGGAGCTGGCTGAAATGTTCCTGCACACTTTATCTAACTGCTCTTTTGCCCAATCACCCCAGAGAGATTTGAAGCAAAATTATTTTCCCATTACACCTACATTAACCTAGACTTTTTCTGTCAATACTCATTTATCATACAACATATATCCAGGAGTTTATTGAGCTTTGCATTTTATCATGTGAGTGAGAATTTGGTCCATTCCTCAATACTAAATTCTCCTTTGAGATAATCGTTTTTCACTTGGTTTCAAATAGTATTCCCATTCGAGTAGTCACCTTGCAAATCCAGGACAAGGAGCTCCCCACGGGTGTACACATAGGTCCAGTGCGAGAAAGCCAGCATCAGTTCTTCCAGCGAGCTGCTGGGAATAATCTCATCTCCGTTGTTGTTGTTGTATTTCCGAAATTCACCAGTCATATATTTCTCAATGGTCAGCCACTGTTTTGCTGAATGGCAGTAGATGAGGAAAACTTCCAGGAACCTGTAGGTATTAATGCTGTCTATCAGGAGCTGGCAGGGTAACAAGCATCCTTACAGTAAGCACATAACATGATGCAGAGCAAATATACCAAAAAGGAGGACATGTCTTCCCTGGCTGAAGCATCTTGAAAAGCAGGAGGTAATAAATGGTACACAGATCAAAGGCTTTCTTGGTCTGATAACTCTCCAAACAAAAAACCTGATCAGAAAGTATAGTTTATGAACAAACACCACAATCTGATTTGCTCCAGCCCACTGTAAATGAGCTATATCAAACTGTCTTATGCAAATTGTATAAAAAGCAATTATTGCTTAAGTCTAATGAACAGCATGTTTATGTTGCCATCACAGGTAGCTATAAAGACAAAGTTCAAAGCTGCCTACCTTTCCTGTTAATAGTTCATTAATTATGATTTAATTGTCTAAGCAGCAGCTATTGCAACCTGCTACAGAAAAGGAGGCAGCACTAGATCTGGAACACAGCTGAAGAGAGAAATCTTTGGCACCTAATATTTAAAGACACCGGACTTACCTTGGAGTATAGGGAATAGTATGAGGCTTCACTTGGTTGAAGATATACATTAACTTCTGGGCAGCCCTTTGTTGTTGGATCTCCTGAAAAAAATTAATTCATTTTATAAACATCATTTTCATGAAGAAAAGTGTCATGAATTTGACAAAACAAACATACATACACATCCTGATTATATACTGTTTACAAATGGGAAATGCATCTTCCCTAAAACTCTGTTTCTTCCACAAGATAACATCAAACCACGTATCAACCATGCTGAAGTCATTAACATGTAAGCAGTGTAATATTTAAGGCACATCAGGCTAGACCAGCCAGCGTACATTCAGGTCTGTACTCACCCTCAAGCAGAGATGCAACACAGTGCCATCATGAAAGATCTTTTGCCAAGTTTGAACCACCTCTGGCAGAAAAGACTTCACAATAAATACTTGTCCCAGCTTTAATACATGATTCTCAGACCAAGTACAAATGACCTTCATGGCCCTCCGCAGACCCCCATCCATCTCCTCCTGTGACAACACTTGGATCATTGCAGCAGTACCACAGTGGGACCAGGAAGACATGCTTTTATCAAGGTTCATAGGTGAACTTTCTTCCAACTGATAGACTGTCACTTCCTCACCAGCTTAAATACAAGGAGGTTTTGTTAGCAAAAGCCATATGTTGCAGAAATAGAAGAGAACAACATTTTGATTTGGTGTCTTAAAATAACATACCGCTTTACACACCTTCGTAAGCCATACTTTTTTGAAAGAGAGCCTTTTTAACATAACTCTTCATCTCTCTGAAAACTTCTCCAGCCTAGAGTTACACTATTTACAACATACATTCTTCTACTACGATTGTAAGTGGTCCAAGAGCTTGTATGGCAAGCTCTAAATAGTGATGAATTTAAGACCTCCTGGATATTTCCACGGAAACAAAGCTCACTGATATTCTACTCCACAGTAGTCATATGCCACATTTTTTGAAAGTTCTTAAGGATGGCTAAGCTTTAAAAGCACATATTTTTAAAGGGTCACCATTTTTATCTCCAGTGTATGAACTCTAAATATCCTGCATGTAGCTTCATCTCTTTATGAACTTATGTGGAAGAGGAATTGTTAGTAAGACTTGTTTTAAATTAGCAACGATTCATGGAACATTCACAGTGCTTTTAACTGTGTTTAACAAACAAAAAAAAACCCCAAAATTCCACAAAACACCAAACAAACTAGCAGGAGAATAACATCTGAAACATTTGTGTGTTGCAAACAGCATTGAATCTTCTAGGCAAAAAATCTTAGTTTAAAAATAGTAGTTAAAATAATAGCTTAAAAAATAGTTTAAAATATACTTCAGAAAAAAATCATGACTTCAAGGCAAACAAACACACAGAGCTTGTAATAGTTACTGACTAATGAATTAGAGGGCTTTAATTTTGAACTTGATATAAAATTGACTGTAGTGAAGAGTGCCACCTTTTGGCACAGACAGCTGGGTAGTTTCAAAAGTGGTAACTTGGCCATGACCAGATGAGCTGGGGAAATTAGGTTGAAAAGGACATTCCTAGGAGAAGCAGCTAAAGCAAATTAACAGGATGCTTACAGTGGTATTCTAAATTAAGATTTAAATTTTTCTCAAAAATTACAATGTTATTTGCAATGCACAAATGTTTCAGATGTTCTGCCCCTGCTAGTAACGTTTTTTCTGAAAGCAGAACCTAGTGAGCTTGAACTCAATTGCCCTGTTCCCCTGTATAGTAGTAATAGCATTCCCACCTTGCAGCAGAATCAAGACACCTTTCTATTGCCACCATTTGTAAACTAACAAAGAAGTGGACTGATTTTTTTAAACCTGGCTTTCTGTCGTGGTTTAACCCCAGCTAGCAACCAAGAACCACGCAGCCGCTCACACACTCCCCCACCAACAGGATGGGGGGGA